GATCTGCCTGCCTCTGCCTCCCGAGTGCTGGGATTAAAGGTGATTGAAATATTTTTTCAATCTTATTTATTTATGTGTATTGGTGTTTTGTCTATACACCACATGTGTGAGTTACAGGCAGTTGTGAGCTTCCATGTGGGCACTGGGAGTTGAACCTGGGTCCTCTGGAAGAACAATTAGCACTCTTAACCACTAAACCATCTCTGCAGCCTTGAACTATTTTTTTAAAGTTTGTCTGTTCTGGGGGAACACCCATACAACAGTGCACATATAAAAGTCCCAGGACAACTTTATAGAGTCGGCTCTATCATCCCACATTCACTGGGTTCCGGGGAACGGACTCAAGTCCTCAGGCTCCCTGGCAAATGCTTCTACCCTCTGAGCCATCTCATTGGCCCCATGACTGAAGCATTTAACAGTTATGTTCAAATACTAATCTGTTTCAATCAACCTGAATGTTATACTAAGTTTGGGACTAAACCCTGCACTGGCCAATTAGTGCATCAGATGTCAACATCCAAATGGAAGCAGGTGATGACCAGGAGACACTGCCTTAACACCCACAGTACCACCACAGAGGCCCACAGCAAGTCACAGTAAACAAACCCTCAAGTCTAGGAATGTTTTTACAAGTAGGAAACCCACTTCATGGCTTTCATTCCTCGGCAACGCACTCTAAAGAGAGCACAGATCTGCCCGGCAAAGGTTCTCTGGACTCTCCAAACTGTAGTATCTCATGTGTGGTGTTATCATTCCTAGGTGTCTCTCTCACCATGCAGGTGGTGGAGCCAAGGGTGCCTACTGTGCTCCACACACATCTGGCGATATTTCACCTGCATTCCTCTCAGTGACACATTTGTCAGACAAAGCACAGGTCAGAGGAAACAGTGAACTGCTCCTGCCAAACAGCTGGGGAACAGCTAGGACCCAGGAACCCACCACAAGCCTCCCCTCTCCCCACTACACATGTCAACCACAGTGAAGGCTGTCGCACAACTTCTACCCAAAGGCATCTGCCCCCATACCTAAACACCAAAGATGAAGAAGATAAGGGTGTCCAGAGGAACATCAGAGAAATAATTTCCAAGATGCAGAAACCCCATTTTAGGCAGCAGGAGAATAAAATGACCAAAAATGTTCTAATCAAAAAAAAAAAAAAAAAAGGAAGAAAGAAAAGAAAAAGAACTAAGAAAAAGAAATAACAGGGCCTGGAGAGATGGTAGTTAAGGGTTCTTGCTGCTCTTACAGAGGACCAAGAGTTCTGTTTTCAGCAATCCCTGGTAGCTCCAGGATATCTAACATCCTCTCCTGTCCTCCAATGGTACTGAAATGTGTGTACATACACACTAAATCTTAAAAAAAAAAAAGAAAAACAGAAAGAAGGAAAGAAAGAAAAAAGAAAGAAAGAAAGAACGGAAGAAAGGAAGGACGGAAGAAAGGAAGAAAGAAAAGTTATATTTTCAATAGCCTTTGTGAACAAGAACTCAGCATCTCCAGAGGTATGCAGCAGGAGTTCAATGGAACTTCTTAAATGTTAATATTAGGCATGGTGGCACAAACCTACAATTCCAGCACTGGGGAGGCTGAGACAGAAGGATGGCAAGAGTACCATAGACAGGAAGACCCTAAGAAAGAATCCTAGTTGGGTACGGTGGCATGTGCCTCCTAGCATTCTTGAGGCAGAGGCAGGCAGATCTCTGTGAGTTCAAGGCAAGACTGGTCTATACACGAGTTCCAGGAGAGCCAGGACTACAAAGAGAGACCATGTCATCAAAAAACAAAGAGAGAGAGAGAGAGGTGAGAAAGACTAAGAATAGTATACGTACATAAGTGTGGGGGGGGGGGGCAGACAGACTGAGACAGAAATACTTTAGAAGAGGACAGAAAACAAGATTCCATGTGCATTTAATAATGACTAAAGAAGCTCTTGAAAAACTTTCAGAAAGGAAAGTTTTGGGTTTGTTCCTGGCAGGATATGTGTCCCTGCCTTTCTCCAACGCACCCTCTTCCACAAGCAACATCACAGCACACCTCACAACATAGGCACTAGATGGCAGGTGAGGTACTTCATCAAATACCCAATAGCCAGATGGAGAATTACTTTAATTTACAAGAAAAAAATGTTTCATAAACACTTGGCCTCGTGGAAAAATGAAAATCCATCACATGCTACAAGAAACAAAGAACAGAGATTAATATAAATAGGTTAATTTAAGTTTTAAGAGCTAGTTGGGAACAAGCCTAAGCTAAGGCCAAGATTTCATAACTAATAATAAATCTCATCATTATTTGGGAGCTGGTGGTCCAAAAAAGTCCTACAACAACACAGTGAGTTCCAGGACAGTCAGGGCTATGCAGAGAGACCCTGTCTCAAAAATAAACTCCCCCAAAAACCTGTGTGTGTGTGAAAAGTGAGTATGGAGTTCTGTTTAAGAATGTGAATTTAGCCGGGCGGTGGTGGCGCACGCCTTTAATCCCAGCACTCGGGAGGCAGAGCCAGGCGGATCTCTGTGAGTTCGAGGCCAGCCTGGTCTCCAAAGCGAGTTCCAGGAAAGGCGCAAAGCTACACAGAGAAACCCTGTCTCGAAAAACCAAAAAAAAAAAAAAAAAAAAAAAAAGAATGTGAATTTATCAATGCATGGTGGCATATGCCTTTAGTCCTAGCACTCAAACAACAACAACAAATCACCCCCTCCACAAAAAGAATGTGAATTCATGAGCAAGATGCATAGCTCCCTAGGTAAAGGCACTTATTGCCAAGCCCAATGGCTTGAGATGGATCCTTGGCATTCACAAGGTAGAAGTCAAGAACCAACTCCCACAAAGTGTACACTATGACACACACACACACATACATAGATTAAATTTTTAAAATGTAATTTAAAAATGAATCTGTAATAAAAAGAGAATGGCACACTTGGGGAGATAGGCAAGAGAAGGAAACAAGGGGGATGAATCTGATCAAAATATATAACGTGTATGAAAATGTCATAATGACACCCATTATTTTGTAGTTAATATATGCCAATAATTTTTATTTTATTTATTTATTTATTTTTGGTTTTTCAAGACAAGGTTTCTCTGTGTAACAGCTTGGCTATCCTGGAACTCACTCTGTAGACCAGGCTGGCCTTGAACTCACAGAGATCTGCCTGCCTCTGCCTCCTAAGTGCTGGGATTAAATAAGCCACCACTGTCTGGCTTATTGTGTTTTGAGATAGGGTTTTACTATGTATCCTTCACTGGCCTAGAACTCACTATATAGATCAGGCTGGCTTTGAATTCAGATATCTGCCTGCCTCTCAGAATGATAGGGTTAAAGGTACATATCATCATGCCTGGCTTCACATTCTTTATTAAACATGTTTGTTTTGTCAGGCATGGTGGGGCACATCGTTGATCCCAGCACTGGAAAGGCAGAGGCAGGCAGATCTTTGAGTTGGAGGCCAGCCTGGGCTACATATCAAGCTGGAGGTCAGCCTGGTCTACATATCAAGCTGGAGGCCAACCAATGTTACACAGTGAGACTCTGTCTAAAAAGCAAAACAACAACAAAAAGAATATGAACTTGCTAGGGTTGTGGTGCATGTCTATAATCCCAGGAGTGGAAGGATCAGAAGTTCAAGGTCATTCTCAGCAATGCTGTAGTCTACCCTGAGTTACATAAGATCCTGACTCAAAAGTCACAACAAAAAGAATGTGGAGAACACACCAACTGGTATCCAAAACCAAATGATCAGCCTTGAAAGTATAAATACAAATAACATTATATGGACTGAGAAGGTTGTTTTATGTATTTAAGGATACATACAGGCATACATACATATGAAACAATAATTAAAGAAATAGAGGCCATGAGCTTGAAAGAGAACAAGGGGATTTGGAGAGAAGAAATGATGTAATTATAATATCAAAAATAAAGCTTTTTTTTGTTTGTTTTGTTTTGTTTTGTTTTTTGAGACAGGGTTTCTCTGTGTAGCTTTGCTCCTTTCCTGGAACTCACGAAAGGAACTCACTCTGTAGACCAGGCTGACCTCGAACTCACAGAGACCCGCTTCTGCCTCCCGAGTGCTGGGATTAAAGTCGTGTGCCACTACCACCCGACTAAGCTTTTTTTTCTTTTTTTTTTTTTTAAATAATGTGAAATTGGGGCTGAGGAAACAGTGCAGAGGCTGATCACTTGTCTGACAGGCATAAGGCCATGTTCATCCCTAGCGAGGCTAAAGAGAAGAGAAAAAAGGAACTCTGGAGTTAGGGTGCCTTTGCTACATAATTTACTGTTCTGTTGTCTGCAGTAAGCTACTTGACCTCTCTATTCCTGAGGAATAAGGATGTTAGTGACTGCGATCAGATGCTCCTAAGGATCTAGAGCAAATAATTGCTCAAAATTATCATCCCTTGAGATAAGAGTTGTTATTAACAGACTGTACCTGGGGCAAACAGGAAGGTAGATTCCATGGAGAACATGTAGCCACCCATTTCCTCACCCTTTACATGGCACCATGGGAGGTGCTGGGAGGCACCGGAGAACGTGTCCACCCAAATGTCCCTGTCGCCCTTATTCATAGCAGTGAACTAACATTTTGGAGCACCTGCTGCTCGTCAGAGTCCACTGCACACAACTGATCCACATGTGTCTCTTACTGGTATAGGAGATGTCACATGCCACTAACAGAAATGAAGGTGGGGGAGCGGACAGGTGGCAGTTAGGAAGGGCTGAGCTCTCTGCAGAGGTAGCCAGGAGCTCCCCACACGGAAGACCCCACTCAGGAGCTGTCCCTGCAATATCTCTGTCGATATGGAGCCAAGCCCGAACGCAGGCCTCGGCGAAGTGTGTGTGTAGCCCCACAGAACCAGCCTAATGCGCAAAGGCCGATCCCAAAGGGCATAACCCCAAAGCCTGTCCTCCTCCCGAGACTGAGCTGACCCAGGCCGAGGGCGCAGCGTCTCGGAGGCGCCCGGACCCTCAAGGAGGACTGCGGGCTGCCACCTCCACTTACCTGCCGGGCGCACGGGGCGCGGAGGGCTGGCTCTGCGCAGATCTGACAGCCCTGGCTGCCTCACCGGCGCAGGCGGTCTGAAGGCTCGCTCCGACTCTGTGGAGAGAGAGGACCTCGGACGTGAGGCCACCGCGGGCACCAAGTTCCGCGCGCGCCCCGAGGGGATGAGCAGCTTACCGACCGAAGCGCGGACGGGGCCTCGTCCAGCCCGCGGTTGTCCGCACTCCGGGGCCAGCGGCGGCCTAGCGCCCCGACTCTCCAGCCCCGGAACGTCTGAGGCCTAGGCGGCGCACGGGCCTCCCTGAAGCCCGTCCTCGCCCGCCCGCCCCGCCGCGGCCCACTCACCTGAACGCGGTCCCCGCAGCGCCGCCGACCCCACAGCCGCCCCGACCCCGCCCGCGGCCCGCAACCCGCGACCCACTGACACCCAGGCGGAAGTGCGGCCCGCACCTTCCCGACCCACAGCCCGCCGCGCCGCTCGCCGCGCCCCGCGCCGCCCGCGTCAGCCGCCGCCCGCCCAATCAGCGCCCTGCCCGCAGGCCGCGTCGGGGGCGGGGCTATGCTGATCACGTTCTCGGGACAGCTTCTCCACCGGCCCCTCCAGAGTCCAGCTCGCACGGGGGAGTGGCGGCGCGCTCAGCCAATTGCCGCTTGGAAAAGGTGGGTTTATGCAGATACCAAAGCGAGATGGAAGGGGAGGAAGAAGGAAGGGGCGTGGCCCTGGGAGAGGCTAGTTTACAAACAGTGAGTCAGGTGGCTAGGCGTAGACGATCCCCCGCAGGCTCTGGGCTAGACCCACCCATCATCTACGGACCCCCGTAGATATTTCTTATGGTTGCAGAGAATTAGACAAATGGCAAATGTCGCCGATGGCCTTTGCGCGCCAATCGTGGCTCAACAGAGCCTGGGGCCAGTTTACCCCTCCGGCTGCCTCCCTGGCCGGTTTATCCTTTTTTAACACCCTTAGGCGCCCTGCGGTCTGCAGCGGCTTCTGGTTATGCCCAGCATCTCTGGGGACACGTCTGCAGCTTGCATCCTTGCCAGATGTTTGGCCTCAGGAAAGCTAACCGACCTCTCTGAGCACTCAATTTCCTCTGCAGAAAGCCCTCACCAGCCTCCTCATATCGTTTGAATGGTGGTCTGGTTTGAGACAGGTGAAGTGACATGAAACAAGATAGCTACTGACTTGCATAGGACTTTCCAGGGCACAGGAATTGCATAGGGATGGGCACGTGGTCCTGTCCTAGCCAGGAGGTTCAGCTCAGTGTCAGACCAGAGGGAACTAAGTCAGATGTCTCGTGTCTTCTACAAGCCTTCCAAGAAGCAAGTGAGGGGAGAGAGTGATTGGAGTCTGGGGCTGCTGTAGGTGTCTGGTTGCTTCAGAGCATGAAGCCAAGGAGTTAGCAAGGCCCCTAGGTCACCCAGAGCCAGCTGCACCTGACATCTGTCCTAGGCTTTCCAGTTACTTGAGTAACTACTTGGGATTTTCTAAGCCAGTCTGAGGTTTTGCCAAAGGGGTTCTGAATCCCCGGAACTACAAGATCAGTAATGTATGTATATCCTTCAGCATGCCCCAAGGCCACACTCCTTCCTCCAGTAAGGTGATGCTCACACAAAGGTCCCCGACTGCCTCTATGGCCCACTCTGCAGATGTTCATACTCTCTGCAAATATGGAGTGAGTGCATGGACCTCTGTAGCAGAGCAGACCCTGTCTGCCTCTCTGGCTCCCACCCCAGGGACAGCCTGGCTTTCTGGTGGCCCTTGTCAATGGCGCTGGGGAGACGTGCTAGGACTGGAAAAGAGCCCCCTGCATACTCTGCTCCTAAAGAGAGAGACAGAGGAAGGCGGGCCAGGCCTCCGAAACAAAGGCGTTGCCATGGTTACCGCGGAAGAAAGCAACTCCAGCCGGCTGAGGGCTGATGGAAGGGTGCGGCAGCTGGCCCCCTAGCCAGGACAAGGACGGCTAGCTGGTTGCCACGGAGATAGTCAGGCTGACCAGTTTCTGCATTTTTACTGGGGGGTCTGGCCAAGACCAGCTCAGAGTCCCTCAAGCCCATCACCAGCCACACCCTCACCTAAACCTCCAAGACCAGTCCCCGTGCAAAGGACGAGCCTCGGGGTGCAGCTTACCACCTGCTTTTTGGCCTTGAGCTTCAGGGCCCTGCCTCTGGGCTGGGCTAACTCTACTCAAGCCATGGTAGGCTGAATCAGGCGTCCCTGGGACTTGAGCAGTGTTCTAACCTCCTATCTTCAAGCTCATGCGGCCAAGGATCGTTTTGAATTCCTTGCCCTCGTGCTTTACCTCTCAAGTGCTGAGATGACAGATGATTGGGCACCACCAGTCTGTCTCTCTGCCCCTTTTAACAGCCGTGAGCCAGGGGGCTGTTGCTGCCTTTTGGCAGTCTCAGGTGCAGGGCTGGGTGAGTCAGCACCTGTAAGTCAGTGAGGGGGCTCTTTGGGACAAACTTGGAGGTGCCCTCACCATCTTCATAAAGCATCCAATTCCTTAGCAATGTTCTCTAGAAATGTACTAATAGGGTGTAGAAAGGGTCAGGGGTGACTCTGGGTCCTGCCGTGACAGTGAAGGTGATAATGGTGGCTGAAATGACCCCCAAGTGTCCCATGATGTACATGTCCCATCTGGTTCCCCCGTTTCAGCAGCCAACCAAGGAGATGTGTGTCATCACTCCCACTGGACAGATGTCAGACTGAGTCTAAACCCAGTTTAGTCTCCTGGTGCCGAGGCCCAGAGAGGTCTCATGGGCCAGCAGTCTGGCCAGGCCAAGACCCCAGAGCAGGATCTGCCCTGGACACAATGCCCAGAGTTTCCTGAGGGGGCTATGGCTGAGGGCCACAAGATCAGGTCCCGTGTCACGAAGCCCTGAGTAGCTGCAGCTTTGGGTGCTCTCAGCATCTGAGAAGTGCAGTCCAAGGGACTGTCTGGGCAATGTGTTCCTTCCTGAACTGCTCCTGGGACCTAGGTGAGAACATACCACACAATGGATGCTCTAAGGGGTGCTACCCCGCCCCACGTGGTATGAATAAAGGATACCTTCCCGACCCAAGTGCTGAATGGAGGTGGGGCATGACAGGATAGATCCTGGAGTCCAATACAACTCTGAGGTCTTAGAATGGAGGGCAGAGGCTCCCTGACTGAACTTCCAGATCACCCCTCTGTCTTCTTGACCAGGGAGAGGACTGGGACCCATGGGCAGGCCATCTGTCTGTGGCTCTCTGACCCACACACAGGCCTCCCGTGACCAGAGCTGGTGCTGTGGGTGGTCACAGCCAGATAGGAACATACACTGCATCATGCTGTTTCTCATCTTCACTCCTGAAGGAAGCAGAACAGAGGGAGATTCGTGTTCCCCATTCTAGAAGGAAAACTAGACGCAAGAGCAGCAGCTTGCCCAGAGCCGGGCTGCCCGCCACCCTCTGCCCTTCACCCACTTCACTCTTACCTCCTTGCCAGAGTGAAATCTCCTCATCTCAGCCTGTTTCTAGGCCAGCTGGGCCAGGGCGTGGCAACCAGGAACTGGGTGCCTTGGTATTGCGGCCCCACCTGGCCCCTGCTGCTGACGCCAACCTGAGGCCATCTCCACCCCACATTCCCAGGCCCCTGGCAGAGCACACTCCCAGCTCTCTTCTCAGGCATGCCATGGACTCGTCTGTGGGACACGAAGCAGGTTGCCAGTGGGCAGCCTGGCCACAGTGGCCTGGCCCAGCTCACGTGGCTTGGCTGATTCTTCCCAGCCAACTTTCAAGTCTCCTCTGCAACGTGACGACGCTGGCTTCCCTGTCGGGGAGGGAGGGTATTTTTAGGTTGAACCCGCCTCGTGAAGAGACAAGTTATCAATAGCAGCAGCAAAGGGCTTTTTCTTATTCCTTTTTTCCCCTATAGCTTTGGGACGTGAACAAGCTGCACCCATTAAACTCTGCCAAAAGAAAGCAGGAGGAAATGGTGTCCCCCTGATAACTTTCACCTTACAGCTCCCTCCACACTGCAGCAAGTCCAAGTCGCCCCAGGCTGACCCCATCGGTCCCACTTCTTCTGGGAAGCTACCCTATCAACCTGCCCAGTGACAGGTGGCAGGCTTTGCAGAGGTCAAGGAGTAAGGAACCAGAGGGGGTGGGAGGGAGGCCCCACAGACCCGCTTCTGAGGAAGCTACTCGACCATTTCTGAGTGCTGTGTACCCAGCAGTAGGCTGAGTGCCCTGGAGTGCACTGTATCAGCTAAATGCCCAACAACTCAAGACAAATGACCAAAGAGGCCCCTGGAGTCTGCCTATCTGAGGTCCAGAGGCCTCACTTGCCAGTGTCTAGTATTTCTTGAGGTCACAGAAGTATGTGGGGGAAACAAAAAAATTAAAAGTCAGCAAGCTTCTTCCTTCCCTCCAAGGCTGACCGGAGCCCTCCCCACCAGAGTGCACAGAAGTGCCTACAAGCAAAGGGCTCAGTGCAGACCCAGCGTTTATGATGGCTGAGATTTTCTTACAGGACGCTGGAATGGCATCCTGCCTTGCTGAAGGAAACATTTGAGCTGACTTGGCTGCCTGCCCTTCAGGATTGGTTAGCAAGCACTCCATTTCTGAGGAAGCCCAGAATAACAAAGCCTTTAACAAAGTAAAGGTGTGCTTGTCTCCCGTGTGACAGGAGCCCAAGCTGCCCTATCCGGCTCCTGCCTTGCCATAGCACTCAACTAGGGCTAGCTTCCCGACTCGTGTCCCTCCATGGCCCAAAACTGTGGCTGGTGCTCTAGCCATCACATACATCTCTACACAGAAAGGTGGGTGAAAAGAGGAAGGACAGCAGTGCTGCCCCACCAGATGAATCACTTTGCTTGAATATCTGCCCTTAGAGAAGAGGAATGCTGGGCCAGTGAACCCGTGGTCCCCTCTTCCCCACTATACCTTTGGTGGAAAGTGAGTTTCTATCTTTCTTCTCAGCACCTACTTTTCTGCTCACATCTCACTGGCCAGAACACCATCCTTTGCTACTTTGACAAGGCAGCAGCATTTTAGCTGAGGGTGTCACTGGCCTAAATAAAACAGGTTCAAAGGAGAAGGTTACAGTAGTCGCTATCAGATAGGCCTACCTGCTGGCCTCACCTAGAGAAGTGTCTGAGACTGGCCCCCATCGGGCCCAGCGGCTGGGACTGCACCCTGCACACACTCCAGCCCATAACAATGGCACTTTCTGGAAGCAACCTTGAGCGTCCTGCATCCGTCAGGTAAAGGCTCATGATACTGCCATGGGGTTAAGGGCAGTGTGGGCAGGATGCCAGGGTCTTGTAGTTTTTAGGGTCTTTAGTTTTAGCGTGGTGCTGGCCCAGAGAACTGTGGTTCCTTCTTCCTGGCTGTACCCTGGCCAATGAAAGATGGGCCCCTGTCTCTTCTCCTGGTATCCCCTGAGCACCTGCCGCACACTGACCTTGCCATGGACCTTAGGGACCAACATGAG